AAAACAAGCAAAACATTACAAATTTTTTTTAGCCTACAGAAAGTATGCTTTTCTTCAGAACCCAAGTGACTTCTTTCTTGTTACTCGGGGTTGCCAGCCATCTGAATTCTGAATGCTTGCTTCTCTCTATAGCACTCCTAGGGTTCTGGGCTAAATACTTACCCCTAGCATGATTCAAAGTCCCCATATAAACTGTAAAATGGACCACAGTTTTTAAAAAGTCCACATCTTTTCTCCACTGTGTGAACCTAACAAAAATTGTCCTGTTTAAGGCAAGTTAATGATCAATAACAACACCACAAGTTTTACAATGTTTTGTTTGACATGTCTGTAAGAAAGTGTGTGTTTGGGGGGGTGGGGTGGGGGGGTTGTGCAACTACATTATCAAGGCCCATGATACAGAATATATACTAAGAGCTACAAAAGGAAAAAAAAGACATAGAATGACATAACTTCCTGGTAGTTCACATACCAGTTTTCATCACCACAAAAAGCTTATCGTTCATTCCCCATAGCAAAGCAAAAGTTTTGTCTACAATAAACTGTGACTTAACTTTTAGAATTTCTACACACTCAGTATACATACAGATTAAACATTAAATGTCAATAATGAAAAAGAAAAAAAATGACGTATTTGTAAGGAAACCCTGATGAGATCTCTGGTCTCTCTGCTATCCATTCCCCGTTGGATAACCCAGCCTTCTCCATCATGAGATTCTGTTAAAAGTGCTCCATATCACCATCCAAACCTCAGAACTCAGTTTCCATCTCTATAGCAAGACTTATAGAACTCTAGCCATTATAAAAGAACGGATGAAAGAAAAAGGGAAACGATACTCATTTTCTCCCAAGTCAGAGCTCCTGGTTCTATTCTGGTACCCAATTTTGACCTTCCACTTCAGATACACTTGAAGAACATTCGACAACCAAATGTGAATCTGCACAAATGGAGGACTTGTCATTTCATTCTCTCGAACAATCACTATTTATATAATATTGCTGGCCTCATAAAGGGGAATCTGTTACCATCAGCAGTTCCAGTCCTCACTTCAGCATCAGATGCAAACAGGAGAGGGAAACAGGATCTCTCTCCTCCATTCACTGTCTGTCCATCCCAATAGCTGGGATCCTAGCTCCATCCAGCTGGCTGCCTCATCCCCTGACAAGCCCAGCTTTTACCTTCCTCCTGTCTCAGTCTGTTCTGGTGTTAGGTTTCTGACTGTTGTTATCTAAATATTACTGCAAGACCATGCTCATCCCTGGGTTCTTGAAAAACTACAACTAAACAGTTCAATTCACAGATCCAGGAAGGACCCTACAAATTCTGTTCAAAACAATTCATTAACTCTTCAACAGAAGTCAAGATATTTTAAATAAATATGTTGTCTCTGGTTGGATAATAAGGGCACACAGGGTTTTGCTAAGAACAGCAAATGCTTTTTCCTCAGCCATCATCCCTGAGTGAGTAAAGCATCATTGGAAAATGCAAAGCTCATTGATCGGGGTGTATCAGTCACCTGAAAGGAAAGGAAGTACAGAATAAACTTCATCCTGCCACAAGCACAAAGCAAAGTCAACAAGTTAAAGCAGTCTTCATGGACCAGAGCAAAATGGCTAAGGATATGGAACTTGTTAATTTTACAGAGGGAGGATGAGAGGGGAGGAGAAGGGGAAGGGAGTGGGGGTGGCGAGAGAACCCAAGTGACTAGCCCACACTTTAAAAACTGTGTCAGGAAGCCTACATTTTAAAACATAAAAGAGAAAAGAGACTTGTCGCAGTTTAAAATGAGCAATTTTTTTCCTGATTAAAATTTAAATGCCTTAAACATTATTTTTAGCTGAATGATCTTTTAACTTCATACATCAAAGTGTTATTGCTGTTCTGGAAAGACAGGAGTTGCTTGCCATCTTCAGACTTACAAAAAAAAAAAAATCTAACACCTTTAACCTCCTAGGTCCTAAGCCACTCTGATTTAAAACGATCTCCATGTCGTGATCTTCTGCTGGTGTGCGGTAACATGTATGTGATTAATAACAAGCTCCTTTCCTCTCAGTTGTCTGGAGAGCCAAGGATGGCGTATCTATCCTGATCTCCTTATGTGTTCCACTAGATTGACATATTTTGCCTCATCTGTCACCTTCCTCAAAACTCTGCTTTCAGATATGAGTTAACTCATTTTTAGTTGTCCTCAATGTTCTAAAATAGTGATGTCTGACAGAATTAATACAGTGCTCTAGTTCTCTCTGTTCGGCTGATATTTAATTAAAGATCTTGGAGGCCATCTTTCAGGCTACCCGGTTAAAGGAGGAGCGTTACTTCCTTCTTGGACAATGTGATAAGCCACATGGCAGAGGCTGCCTCCCTCAGGCCTCCTGTTTAACAGACTGCTTTACTACACACAAACCTCCAGCAGGACAGGATGTCATTTTGTTTCACACTGACTGTATTCTCAAACACCTGATCCCACATGCAACCTTCTCAACATCTAAAATGTTGGTAGTGGCAACACTCCTCCCTCTATATTTTTTTTTATCATTGCTTTTGTCCCCCCAGAACCTCAAAAGGTACTGAGAACATTTATTCTGTAATATTTCTTGAGCCTCTAGTAACACAGAAAATCTTTGCACAGCCAAAGACACTTTGGAGCACAAGCTAAAAGAAGGTGTCTTTAAAAAAAATTTTTTTTTAAATTAATATCTTTTGGAGACTAGCCCACTTGAGTTGATATGTCATAATTTTCCGATTCTGAAAGTGGCATGGATAATTTAAATTGGCACTTGCTGTGCATTACTTAAATAATTATTCTCCGTGATGGCCTTTGGAAAGCCTGAACTTCTTAATCATGTTTTGACTATACAGTAACCATAAGGGACATGTCAACATAAGCAAACTCTAACAGCAATAAACTAACAAGCAGACTCTAGGTGGTGGTATAGGTTTTTTTTTTTTTTAATCACAGTGTTTTGCTCTTAAAACTGGAGGAATCAAGAGGAGCCCTGGCCTCATCCACACGCATTTCTCCATTGCTAACACACAATACTTTCAGATATCTCAATTAGAAAAATTCAAGTTCTACAAAGTTTGGAAACACAGATAGGTGGTTCTAAGTCTTCTTGTAGCCATTAAGCCTGGTTTTCAACTATCTTAAAGGCACTTCATGGAACCCAAAGGTATACAAGCAGCAACCGAACTGCCCTCCTTAGAGTTTTTAAGTATACTTTTTAAGCATATTTTGTTCACGCTCCTTGTACTTGAAAGGCTTAGTGTGGAGCGAAGTCTACCCAGTAGAGTATAAAACAGGCTGGAGTATAAGTATCCAGTTTGCAGGTACTGCCTGCTACACTACCGACTCTCCTTTGTCTATAGTAACTAAGTCCTATATAGAAAGTTCCTGTGGGTGTTACAGTCAGGCTTCCAAAATCAATTAAACCGTATTGGACATTAACAAACTACTGGGCAAAAAAACCAGGGCAACTCACTTGGAAGTGGAAGATTTCAACATACTGCAGACAGCAGCCACTCTTAGGGGCCATGCATATTGAAGCACCGTTTGTTTAAAACCTCGACTTACTTCACCCTCTCTTAGACAAAGGTGGAAACCTGATTATTAAACCTGATGATGATAATTGCATCTGCAAGATGCCGCCCACTTGCTAAACCTATGATTCACTAATAAGCGGGTTCAATGTAATTCATAACTTTAAAGAATGAATTACTGAAGCCCCTGCTTTACAAAACCCAAGAAATACAGACTACACATCATTTAGGCATATATTCATATATACAGACACAGACAGACAGACAGACAGACAGACAGACATGCTAATCTTGTTTTCCCTTTAGATTCTTAGTCTCTCTTTTTGTAAAAACACGGTTTTCCCTCAGTGTCACAATCAGTTTACAGGAGCAGACAAACTCCAGTCTGTTGCCACCAAAAAATGAGTAAAAAGTTCTTGCACCTAATAATGTCCGGACTTTCCCACAACTAAAAATGACCCATTATTTTTTTTAAAGTATTGTAACGTAAAATTACCTAACGTTCCGTTCTTCGTTTACGACCGCCAGAATCCAATTAAATTACTGACATGATGGAAGGTAGTAACTCCTGGAATGTCTCAGAGATCAACATGTGTCAGACTCATTGCCTGTCCGCCTTTTAAACACAGTGGATTCCTTTGTTCCTTCAGTCTGAATATCAACTCCTGATTAAAATTTGGAAAAGTACTTTGAAAAGGATGGGAAGGTCTGGGGAATGTTTGCACGTTAGAAGGTTTCTTCTAACAACAATAGTAGTAAGAAGGACAGTGGCACCAGAGACAAGAGAGGTCTCTCAGGACTTCACCAGGCTCACGCGAGTGAACCCCCTCTCGGATGCTGGGGGAACTGGGCTGAGGCCTCGGGTGCAAGGCGCCTCGCCCTCCCTCGGCAGGCGGGCAGCTCGTGCCCAGCAGGCCGGGCCTGGGGCTCAGCGCTGTCCCTTCTCCGAGTCACTTTTCCCGGCTGGGAATCGGCGAGCACCGCGCAAGGGAGACACCGGCGATAGGCGGGGAGCTGCGCGGGCGCCACCGCGAGCACCGCTGGGCGGCAGGACCGAGCGGCGCGGCAGCCAGCGCCCGGGGCTCGGGGCCAACGGGGGCAGCCGGGCGGGCGGGCGGACGGGCGAGCTCGAACGGGGCCCCCGCCACCCGGCCACCCGCGGGGGTCCCGGCGCAGAACACCCAGGGCGGCTGCGCCTCTCGCGCCAAGGCTGGCACGGATGAGTCCGCGACTGGGAACTCCACAACTTGGCGGCTGCGCCGGCCGGGGCCGCGAGTTGCCGGGGAAAGCCGGAACGAGGTGCGGCGGCGGGCTGTCCCCGAGATCCGTGTCCCCGGCGCTCCCCGCGGGCCTCCCCCGGCCTCCGCCGCCCTCCACCGGCTGCGCACCCAGGCCGTGCCCGGGCGGCGCGGCGTCCGCTCCGCGAGCTCCGCACGGAGCCCGGGCCGCGATCGTTACTCACCGAGGCCGCCGCGGCTCCGGGCCGCCGATTCTCGTCGCTCCCTCCTTCCCGGGTGAGCGGTGCCCTGCGGCCGCGCGAGGCCACGGGCGCTGCGCACGGGCGGGCTGGGGCCGGCTCGTCCTCCGCCTGCGCCGCGGTCGCCGTCGCCTCCCGAGTTCGGGGCTCTGCTGCAATGTCTGCGAGGCTGACTTTGAGCGCCTCGCTCGCCGCCCGCCCGCCGCAGCCGCGCTCCTCCCTCCGCCGCCGACTTCGCGGCGGCCGGGTCCCTCCCCTCGCTGCTCCACGCCATTCAGCTCTTCAGCCAAGTTTCTTAACCCTTTTCTGCCCCTCCCTCCCATTGTCACCCGGGCCCAGCGCGCACCCGGCGGCTCGCCGGAGCCGGGGAGCCCACCGGGCGTCTGCAGGCCTCCTCGCTTGAGCTCCGGGTGGGGGGCTGAGCGGCCTTGAAGGCAGAGAGAGGACGCGGTTGGACCCGGAGAAGGAGGGGGCGCTTTGCTCCCCGAGCCGGCGCCCTGGCTTCCCAGCCCCGTCCAGCCAGCCGCCTGGACAGAATCCCCGCTAGGGGCCAGGCGATCGCCCATGTCACCCATGCCGGGGCAAACGCTGGGGGCACCACAGGGGAATCGGGGAGCTTAACTCTACCTCAGGTTCCCCACCTAGGAGCTGGCACCTTAAGTGTCTCCCTTTTTTCCCGGTTTCACCCACAAGCACGCGTTCTCTTGCCGCCCTTTACCCACCCTAATTTCCACCTCCTTGAAATCTGTGTCCCGCTTAAATCCCGGAAGCTACGGCGCTATAACTCTAGGTCATTTTGACCCCCGATGCTCAGCACTTAGTAGGACCCAGGGATAAATATGGCATGATTCCAAGCGGAAAACTGGGAAGGAGACCTGAGGAGTGCACAGCTCAGCTCCCTAGACGGACGCAGGACCCAGGAACCTGGTTTATCTTCAGCTGCTTTGTCACTGTGAAGTCTCCAGCAGGGTCTGCCCGCCAATCTGCACAAGCCCCAGGAAGGATCTGACCCAACAGGACTAGGAGATGGGCCGTCACCTCTTTAAGCAGCTCTGCTGGGTTCTGGAGTCTCAATAAATAACAATTACATCAGGAAGCCAGGGTGGCAGTGCAGCGAAACCTGGGTTTCCTGCAGCCTGGTCTTGCTGAACCCGCCTCTAAATTTGAGGGGGGCTAACAGATTGGTAAACCGAGAAAGTGGAGGGAGGAGAGAAAAATATGAAACCATGATCTCTTCCTCTCCTTGTGGTTTCTGCTTTAAAATCCTATTCTCTCTACTCCCTTCCTATCGTCCTTTTAACGCTCCCCCTGCCCCAGATGTCACGTTTGTTTTTGACTCTAGTATCTTTCCATGAAAAGAATTACCTGCGGGAAGAATGTTGTGGTTGCAGAAGTTGTTTTTGTTTGACATTAAAAAAAAAAAGGTTAAGGTATATCTTCGGTTCACCCTAAACTCTGAAGTGTTAAACCTGAGTTAAAATACTAAGACAATTTTGTGACTAAAGCTATTTATTCTCATGCTTTTCATATCCTATGAATTTGGAAAAAGTCACGGATGCACACCGAACCCAAAAATTATCCAAGTGACCCAACTGTATTCTTTACTGTTATATAATAACTCTATAGCTGTTTTTCAGATTTTTCAAATGAGCAAGGTCTGGACTATCTTCCCAGTCTTTAAAGTAAAGGCAGTTTTTCAAATTAATTCTTAATAAAGCTATATCCTAGCACAGTCCTGAGCACGTTGGAAATATTTTCCTTAATGGTGATGGTGGTAAATTTTAAAATACTTATTGTCTGCAATCTGTTTGTCGTCTAATGTAGTGTAAATCTCAGGTAGCAGCATAGCACTTGCATACACCACAGGTCAAAATCAGCTTAAAGCAAATTAGTAAAGGCAGCATTTATCTTGGGCATCATATCTCTAGGGCATCATTTCTCCCTGATTGACAAAAAGCAAATGATTGCAAATTAAATGACCAGCATAACTGTAACTTAGCTCTTTAAATTTTTTGTAAATATTATACAAAGACGTTTTAAATGTATCCCAGTTTATTATTTAGGTTAATTTTTTTTCTGAAAATCCAATGTCAGTTTTATTACAAGTCATCTTTGTGGTAGATTAGAGCAGATTCAACAAATGCTTTCAGTTAGCCATGGAGGTACTAGCCTATAATCCCAGCAATTGGGAAGCTGAGACAGGAAGTGGGAAGTTGGCGGTCATCTAGGACTTGTTAGCAAGTTCAAGGATAAAGTTCCAAAATGAGACCCAGTTTTGTAAAACTAAGACAGGGATGAAGCAAAGAGATACAGCACTTGACTAGTATGTGTAAGGAAATGGGTTCAAGCCCCTTCAACACACACACACACACACACACACACACACACCCCTACACACACACCACATTTCAAGCTTCTCTTACCAATAGGCAAACATTGTCTTCTCTTTAGATTGGCAGTTTCTTCTGTGGAACAGACTAAGAGTCCAGATAGCCTGTCACAATTAATATAAAGTTAAGCTAAGTAATAAATTGCATGTAAGAGAGTGAATCTCCTACTGGGGACCACAGTGACAGACTTGGGGACAGATATTTGAGCCCACTCAGATGTCTCTCTGTAAAACATTATTCTCACTTTTTAAAGAGGTTTTAGATCTCCGAGATTGCCCAGCAAGCTAAATCTTATTCTGCTTGCCCAATATCAGCGCTAATATCTTAGATGATGTACCAAACCTGACCGCCCCCACCCAATGTAATAAGTACAATCCTGGACTCTTCTTGATAATACACTTGTATTAAGTTAGTTGCATACCTCATGTAGAATTGCTAATTATGTAAAGATTATTTTGTGTTTATTTTTCTAAACAAAACAAAACAAAAAACAAACAAACAAAAAACAAATCAGTAATGAGCCAGTAAGATGCCTCAGGGATAAAGGCACTTAGTGCACAAACCTGGCCACCTGAATCTGATCCTTAGAACAGACTCCCTTAGGTTGTCTTCTGAACTCTACACATGTGCATAGCACACACATGTCTTTGCCCGCAGGAATGGCGCCTCATACCTGCTGGCTGGTGTCTCTCAGAGAGGTCCATCTCCTACGATCCATCTCCTATTATTTATGTAATAATTTTATACTTAAAAAATAAAAATGTCCAGGCTAAGAGGATTATTATATGGCTATTGGGGTATATGGGATGTATAAATGTCTCTGCAATGATTTGTATTTGGAAGCCAGATCACACAGGAAGTGTGTGCAGTGTGAAAAGATTCATTCAGTTTACATACCTAAACATACGTATTATAAAAAGTCTATCAGTTGGCTCTAGAGAGATGATGTAGGGGTTAAGAACATTGATGATTCTGTCAGAGGACTCGGGATCAATTCCCAATTCCTCACATAGCAGACTCACAACTGTCTCTAACTCCTGGATCTGACACCCTTACACAGACAAAAACAAAATAAAATATAAAAAAAAAATCTATTTTTAAAAAAGTCTATCAGTCCACTGGAATTCAATATTTTAGTTATGCATATCTACAAGTAGCCTGAGAAAGACAGATGTTCATGTGTTCTCTGCATGTCGAATGGCCAGCATCCTTCAAGACAGTTTTTGTAATGTTCGGCTTGTCAACATTCCCTTCTAGAATTAAAGTACGCAGAAATAAAGTCTAAGCTCCGCCCCTGCTCACAATGAGCTACCTCCAACACTTAGCCTGGTGATCCACAAACAGTAGCCATTCAGTAGGTGCTGGCCAAGTCACTGTCATGCCCTAGAGGACAGAGTATTTATTTTTATCTGAGGTATGGATATTAGGCCAAGGGGGTCAGAAAACATTTTATCAGGAAAATTGTGCTTCAAGGTCTGATGAAAGGTTAAAATTTGCTAAGACAAAAGAAAGGAGTTCTCAAGAAAAACCAGAGTATTAATAGAGTGTTACCAGTAGGAAGTTATAGGAAAACAGAAATGTACATCATGAAGACTTGAACACATGTGTGCTATGTGTACGTGTGTATCTGATCACACACACAGAATCACTAGCCATTTGCCTCTTGAACATGTAAACTTCACCCCGAAAAATATGACATGAATCACAAAAGGTGAGTTTCATGTGTGATTTAAAATTTGCAGTCGCTACAACTCATAGGTACAAAGAAATGCTGTTAGCTTGAACTTTATTCTACAATTAATTCAATATATACAAAATATTTCAACATTTTTTTTTTAACATGGTATTGTTATGTAGCCCTGGCTGCCCTGGAACTCATGATGACTGCTGGTGTGCACCACTGTGCCCAGATCTTTTACTCTTTTGAACACTCGATTTCCAAGATCCAGTGGCTTTTCCTCTCACCACACTCGGCAGTTTAAACGACTGCCATATTGAATCCTACAGTTCTAGACAAGGAAGACTGCAGGAAACTGTTAATGGTATCAACAAAACAATCTGTTAAGGGGAAACCTAAAGTTTGTTAAGCATAAGATTGTATTTGTCAGTTACTGGTGTTTACACTGTGTTATAAAGACCACTTTGGGGTGTAGAGGCTTTGATAGCAATCAGAGAGTCAGCAGAGTTGACATTTTACGGACTGTGTCTTCATTAACCATACTGCAGTCACAACTGTTCCTATTTCTGTTAACTTTGTGTAGGAGACTGTAAATGTAAAACCGTATTTAAGGCAGAAATAAAATGCTATAAATTTTGAGTTGAATAAGTGAAAACAAACAAACAACAACCGTAACAATAGACAAAACAAAACAACTTCTCTAGAACACAGGACTACCTTTGGACTAGTTCCATTTGAGAGTCTTTGTAGCTGATGAAGCTGGGGGATTGTCTCAACCAGCACTTACATGTGGACTTCAGAATCCATCCCACCATCCCAACCATGTTGGAGGCGAGCACTTATCCCAGGCTGCCTGGGTGAATACATGGCAGCTCACTGAGATGAAGAAAAGTCTGAAGGAGCAAAAGTGAAGACATTTAGACACCCTGGCTGCAGGTGTCCCGTGCAGTTTCCCCTACTGGGAC